ATAATAATCGATTTGACAAAATCAATGGTATACACAATTCATATAGTAATAGAGTACATTGCACAAAGCCAACGTTACAACTTAAATTCTTTGCAATTCTTTATCATCGGTCTTTCGGTGTGTTACCTTCTATCTCATTCACTCTTGTTCATTTGGATTTTCAATTCGGTCGTGTTCGTAAATTAGATGTGATAAAATTATCGTATGTTCATAAATTTGCTTCTTTTTTTCCGGTTCTTATCACAAAAGGGAGCAAGCACATGATGAATACTGTAACAATAACAGAAAACGACCGCATGTCAATCGTTGATAAATAGTAAACACTCTATCAAGATAAATATCGCACGACGAAATGGAAATGCAACTTTTAAATCTAATTTATTCAACATTCCGAAAGTTTCCAGTTTTCATCAGTTTCGCTCTGACTCGTTCGTTGTCGCTTCTGTGCACTGATTCGTACATTTGACGGTGAATAGCATACAATACCGAACGCACGCGACACGCTTGCAAATCAAAGACCACAATTCATTGACCCGATTTCATCCAGATAAATTGGAAACCTTCGCATTTGTTTTGTTTTTTTATTTTTCATTCGATTTGAAAAATATATCAAAATTTCCCTTGATTTTTTTTTTGCTGGATGTAAGTACATATTGGTATATTGAATTACCGACCACACTGTGTGCACCTTATTTTCAAATGGATTGTATGCGCTGCTTTGGCAAATGATTTGTTCTCATTCAGAACTTGTATGTATGGTTTTGGTGTTGCGGATTTTTATCGAGAGTTACTCGTTTAACACATCGCCGATTTATGATTTTGACATTCGACTGCATGACACGGCATACTTTCATCAAATCTATTTTGTCGCCATTGTGAATATGACTCACGCATTCTGTTGCGTCTTTTGGATGTTTTTTTCTCAGTTAATTTTCCGTGTTTTTATGATTGATGATGGGGGAAGTGTTTTAAGAGATGCAAAAGTGCCTTGGTGTCTTTTAGTTTACACCAATATGTTCCAAAACTGAATTTTTCTGCTTTGACAACTACAAGAAATCATGCGAATGAATAATTTTCACATTAAACTCCGAATAATAATAAAAAAATGCGCAATTTTAAACCATTTCAATGAGTATAAGTCTCTCCAGGGCAAGGTGCACATAATAATGGATCAAATGCAAAAAATCAAATCAAAACTACACACATCAAAATGATCTCTTCGATTTAGACGGTTTTAGATGAAATATTGCGCGTGTATATTTTATGTTTGAAAATGGTCAAGACTGAATGCCGCTTTAGTGTGTATATAGGCATTCAAATAGCCGTAAAAAATACCATATGAGACAAAAATGAATGTTTGAGGCGAAATAAAAAGACAGGCTGAAATATTTCTTGGATAACTTTTTTTCCATTGAAATCGAAGCGCGACCACTTTTTGCGTTCGCTATTTCTTCGGCTCTTACAAAATAGAATGTTACAAAATGGTTGATAGACCCACTTTTAGCATGTACTCTTATTTGTATTTCGTATGTTTTTTTTATATTCATTCGTCGCTCATTTTTGATTGCTTTTCGACGTTCGATACGTATATAAGTGCAGTATATTTGAAGCACAACTGAAAGATTTATGTGCCATGTACCTGCATTTCTGTTCTTGTTGTTGCTGCCAGGTCTTTTTTTTTGTCTTCGTCAATTTTGCTGCTGTCTTTTTATATGGATACTCAGTTTTAGAGGCAAAAATAGTGGATTACATATGGAACAGAAACTAAATTACGAACAGGTTGAAATCCCAAACTTACAATTTACAATTTTTCTGACAGTTTGAAATCGATAAGATTGCTTATTTCTCTGTCTCTCTCCAGCACCCTCTTTGTTTTTGTCTCTTTGGAGTGTGTGGTGTGTGTGTGCATGAAAATCGAATGTTCATACGTATATTTCGGTTTCGCAAATCACTCCAATTAGCGCAGTGTGTTTTTTTTATGTAACACACAAATATACACGCCGAATGAACATGTGCAAATGGAGTTGTCACTGCTGTAACTATATAACCATATTCCCCGAAACGATATGCGCTATCGAAATATTGTCTTGAGCAAATGCTGAAATCGAAACCAAATTCAAATATGAGCGCGTGCCAACAAAGCACGCCATACCAAATAGTTCAATATGAAGCATTCATTTCGCATTTTCATGTCGAATTAAATTAGCATAAAATCCAATTTGCGGCAAACGGACATGTGGATTGCACCTATTTCATATATTTCGTCATTGTTGTTCTCTATGAAATTCCTGAATGTGTAACACCAATTCAAACAGCAATTGGACCAAGGGATCTAGAGAAAGGCTGTTACAGTTTAAAAAAATGAATGAACAATTTTTAAATGCATTCAAATTAATTTTTTTGTGGTTCGATAGTCGATTACACATATGTGTATGAATAGATATGCAATGACAATTACTTGGATTTGTGGAACATATCATTGTATTCATTCATCAATTTTTGCCTTTAAATAGTGTTGCAACATCATTCTCGAATGGTTTAATTGCTTTGCACACGGAAACACTTGACGTTCATGATTTGCGTTTGTCCACAGCATGCAATGGTATGCAATCCGTTAACCAAATTTCCATCTTAAATCTACACTGTCCACCAATATCAAATGGATGAAAAAGTGTCAGAAAACAGTTGACAACCGCCAGATTGTATTGATCAATTTGGTTTGAAAAGACAATTAAGAAGAAAAAAAAAACAGACGGCACAAAAAACGAGGCAAACAGACCGAATCGAGAATGTTTGCGACCCATATGCTTGGTTTTTATGTTAGTTGTTTTTAGAATGTGCTCCACATAAGTCGGCATACTTGATCAACATATTTATGTGAATGGTGCTTGCGTGTGCCAAAGCGAAAACAATTCAACACAGTCGCGCTAAAAAAAAAACTGCATATGGAAGATTAATACCAAAATCGTAACTCTGTACAAAACAAATCTTTGAACCACAAGAAAGAGAGATAGATGTATGAATGAACCGTAAAAAGCTTGAAAAATGACATCGAGTTAGGAGCAAATGTGCTTGAGTGCTTTTAATTTTGTTGCTGTTCTTTTTTTATTCGCCTCAACTCAAATGGAATTTGACTGAGTGAAGTACCTGAAAATAAATGGCCTATGTGATTTGTGTGCATTTACCGATGTTTGACAATTTTGGTTTTGGTTAGCAATTGGCCAGATTATTGCAATCCAGCAATTACAGAAAACCAGTGTTATTCATTTTGAATTTAATGGATAATCTATTGTTCTCCAAACAATTGCCTTTTATGTGAATATATCATTCAATAAATGGAGAAACTGATTCTTTTTTTGTTTGGACAAAAAGATAGTAAATCATCTGTTTGTCCATCTGAATGAAGTTTGGGCGGCATTCAAAGCTTTCCTTCTCGTTCTGATTTATTTGCACTGGTCGATATTCGATTGATGTCCATATTTTGCTGCACACACTCTCTCCCCCTATCTCTCCCTCTATCTCTCTCTCTCTTTTCTTTCTCACATCGCTGACGACATCGAACCAAAAACGCCGTTGCCGTTGTTGATGATGATGAGGAAAAAAGCGCAATTCCAAAACTTCACAAGCGAAAGAGAGAGACAGAGAAAAGTAAGATTTTGAATGACCTAAATTAAACAAGTTTCACTATTTAAGCGCAATGCGCTTAATGCACGAAGCCATTTGCGTACATACGTGTTCGCATATATACCAGTACATCGATATAAAGCAACATAATTGTGTGCTAAGCGGAACATACATATCGATACACGTTGTGGTCAAACGAGTAAAACGTATCGAAAAGTGAAAAAAAAAAAACACAAACACACACACACACATCCACTAAAAATGAATAACAAAATTCTTCCAATGGACTAAAAATAGATTTCGAGAACGTTATGCACTTTGGAAGTGTCGTTGAATATGCTGGTCATATGCAGAGATGGAGAAACCATTCATGTATCATGAACGATAACTCTGTTGACAATTTGTCATTTCTTAAAATGCATGAATTTCATCATTAAATTTACCAAAATCTCAACCGAAATGATTTTGAACAATGATCAAATTCGATCACGTTCGTTTCTTTCGTGGCATTTTATTTTGTTTTCCACAACACAAATCGCACATCATTTATGATGTATTTTGTTGATCCATTCCACGTTTTATTATTATTTTCTTTTTCGGTTTCAATTCGCAAAAATAAAAAAAATAACAACCGCAATACAAATTTACTCAAAATGACGAACAGTCTAAGCCGACACTCATTGATTATGTTACATAAATGCACCAGGTAAATGTACGTTTGCTCACATCAGGGAGTAGGCACATTGCATGCAATCAAATAACAAGATCAGATTGTCGAAAGACATAACAGTGCTTTGAGTGAAAGAGCTACACACACACAGTATACAAATGCACATCTGTTGATTTTGAAAATGTATTCAAACGTACACATGCACATACCAACAACGTGCAATTGCATTTTCTTATTGTTGCCGTTCAATTGCGGTGCATTCATTTTGCATCGGAATTGCTCAAGCTTATGCTGTTTGGGTTTGGAATGCTTACATCATGGTCACATTAGTTATAGCTTAATTCTGCATATGGAATAATGAATTGCTATTGTGGGTGCACTTTTTTTTACTTTGATAACTATTGCAGTTAGTAATTTTGAATATATTTTTTTCGCTATTTTCCTGTATGAATGAAATATTTGACAATTCTTTGGAAACGTTTGTCGATGTTTGCGTCGGAATAAATCAAAACAATGCAACGAAGATTTCGAAATTGTGAATAGAGAGCAACCATACTAAATAAAATGAATAGGATTTTATTAAAAAATAGTCAAATCTTGGCAAAACATGGTTCCTTGATTTCAGCGATTCATTTGTTTTTTTTTTTTTTTTTTTTTTTTTTGGCCCAACTAATGATCACACCACATTTATGTGATATAATTTCAGGTTTCTGCGGTAAGGAAAAAGTCGTATCGCTGATTTTTGTAGCGATTTTTAGCCAACAAAAATCGAGTGAAATTTGGCGGCTAAGAACGAGTAATATCAACACAGACTAAACAATTAACTATTTAAAAATTGATAACCAAACTGTACGACGATCGTCACGAATAGTGACATCGAAAATCCGCAACGAATCCAAAAACATGTCGAGTGAACCCGACTGTACGGCATCATCTGGTGGTTCCGGATTCTTGCTGGAGTCATCATTGAGCAACATCATTAACCATCGCAAAAGTACGATTAATAATAAAATCAACAACAACAACAACAACAACGAAGATACCGACTGTGACCTAGAAAGCGTCCATAATAATAACTCAAATCATAACAGGTATTTTTTTATCAATTCCAAAAAAAATCTCAAAAAAATATCCGATCTTCACGGAAGATTTAATTCTGAACACATTTACTTTCAATACTGCAACATTTTTATTGTCATATTTATATTCGAACTATCAATTTAAAATTGTTCGTAGAGATAGATAATTAAATATGGCACTTGCCATAAAGTTGGAGTGGCAGTTAGATATTGCAGAAATAATTTTCAAATTATTACTTTCAAGCGGTTCTTGGCGAACTTTTCTTTTTAAATGCAAATCATTTTTTTTTTGCAGTGATAGCAACAACAACAACACAAACAACAATGGTAACAATACAAATAATATTAATCATGCAGCAGCTGCAACGACAACAGCATCGAGTAGCCTGTTGGGCGATAGTGCAACAAATTTGGATGGGAAATTTAGTGAGTGTTTGGTTGTGCTTGTCATTTTGTAACCTATGGATGACATATTGATAAGATTTTTTTGGTATAGATACATTAAAATGCGATCGATGTGATAAATTTGAAACGATATCGCATGCCCTGTTGTTGGTACATGTGGCTCAGTGTCGGGGCGATTCGAATAGTTCAAACAGCGGATCTAGTCGACAGCAATATCCAATGGATGTAGTAAATGCAAGCACCGATAGCGGCATAGCTGAAGATGCAACACAGTCGACCATGGATTCAACATCGGTGACTGCCTCATCGTCCACCATTAACATGAATAGTGACAGTAGCAGGTAAATATATAGATAAATGTGGTTTAGTTTCGGCACTTATAATCAATTGTTTAAAACCATAGTTTGCAACTGAAGCAAAATGCCGATGCAAATAATGGTAATGTGGCACAGAGGAAGCTATTTGAATGTGATGTGTGCAATATGAAATTTTCCAATGGAGCCAATATGCGAAGGCATAAAATGCGACACACTGGAGTCAAGGTAGTCACACAGATTATGATAAATTCTTGGGACTTTTTTTTTCTCTAATCCTTGTGCAAATTTTCTTAAATCAATAAGCCATACGAGTGTCGAGTGTGTCAAAAGCGATTCTTTCGAAAAGATCATCTTGCTGAACATTTTACAACGCACACAAAAACACTTCCGTACCATTGTCCAATTTGTAATCGAGGATTTCAACGGCAAATCGCAATGCGAGCCCATTTCCAAAATGAACATGTCGGCCAAAATGATCTCGTCAAAACCTGTCCTTTGTGCAATTATCGAGCGGGCACCATGAAATCGCTACGAATTCACTTTTTCAATCGGCATGGCATCGATTTAGATAATCCAGGCCCAAATGCACCGTCATCGCTTCTACTCGCATTGGATGCATCAAACGCTAGCAGTTATCTGCCATCTATAGCATTGGCAGCGGCCGCTGCCGCTGCTGCCGCCAGTTCCGCAAATAATTCAGCACTCTCAATGGCTGCCAATAACAATAGCAACAGCGTTACAGCCTACAGTGACAGTGGCGATTCTATGCAGGTAAGATAAATCCACTGCATTTAAAATACTCGATATATTCATTTTTGTCTAATATGAATACAGGACTCATTACGATCAGCTGAAAACGGAACACCGCCGATGCACTTTTTGACTCCGCATGTTGAAATTTCCATGGCAGATAATGACAGTTTCAAAGTAATTATACACTTTTAATATGACATTAATATTAAATATGGATTGATAGGATTTCAATCCCGAATCCCTTACCATCATTTAAAACAGATGTGTAAACTGTAAAATACACAAAAATTCGAAAGTTATTACATTGCTATTTATAAATAAAAATTGCATATTAATGTGACATCATTGTTTGTATAGTCGGAACCAATTCCACCGAGTATTAGTTCAGCGCTCGAAATTCAAGCGTGCCCATCAATGAATAGACCATTAAATGGTGGCTCACCATCACCACATTCGGCAGATTCCAATGCACCAACTAGCTCTCAATCATTAATAAGTAGCGCTTTACAAAGTTCGCGTCAAAGTTTACTTCATGATGGACAAATAACACCGTCAATCAGTCTTATACCAATTAAACAGGTTCGTCTGTCGTACAATCGATATAATTTAATTCAAATTTAAAGCGTATAAATCAACATTTATTTGTTAATTTTACTGTAGGAACCCGGTTGTGATGAGTATGATAGTTTGTCAAAATCTTCACATCAACAAAGTGGCGATCAACAATCATCGTCATCAATGCAAAATTTAAACTCAATCACAACGAATTCGGTCGAATCCAGTGCGGCGTCTTCATCGAGTCTGACCTCCTTAATCAAAGTAGGTTTCTTTCTTCGCATTGTATTTGACTAGAATTTCAACATAAAAAAATATATCAATTATCGATATAGGTATCTCCTTTGAAATCACTATTACGTGAAGATTTAAAAAGGCGAATATCGGCTCGAGCAAGTAGTCGTGCTTCACGAAACAATAGCAATGCCAATGGAAATAATAGCGAAAGCATTAACAATGGATCCAACGGCAGCAATGCAAATAGTTCAACCACATCCAGTCCAGCTGCAACTCAAAATTCGTCGTCGTCAATATCATTCAGTAAAATTGGAAGCAGTGCATCGTCCATTGCGAATACGATGAATGCGATCAGCCAGCATTTATTGTCCAATTCATCGATTACTGTTACAACTGAGTCGACAACAACGTCATCGGGTCAGTTTACATTACACACTTCTATTTTTTAATGATGATCCACCTTTTTTTTCTCTCGAATGATTTACGCAAAATTATTGATAATTTAATTAAATGGTTTTGTTTGTGTTCATAACTCACAGGCTCATACAATGGAACGACCACATCACGTAGTCCATTGGGTGCTGTGGCAACAACATCAAATGGTGCAATCACATCAACGGGCACATCAGAAACGGAACTTTTGCTAGCGGCGGTATCAAGTGGACATCGAGGCAAACGAATGCTTCAATGCTTATTCTGTGGCATTGAATTTCCCGATCAAACTTTATATTTCTTGCATAAAGGTTGTCATAGCGAGAGCAACCCATGGAAGTGCAATATATGCGGCGAACAATTGAATAATGTTTATGAATTCAATTCGCATTTGTTAAGTAAGAGTCATCAATAGAATTGGTTCAGTTCGTTCGTGTCAGCACGAGCGAATTTAATATCCAGAGTACTATCCCAAAACACAATCATCGATCAACTGCTTGCATTTGATATGCAACAATGATGAGTCACTTAAATGTACGCGCACAGATCCCAAAACTGATTTTAGTCAAAATGAAATATTGAAATCAAAATCCAACGATATTTAAAAAAGAAAATGATGTTGAAGACATACATATGTTCATAGTTCCGATGGAATATTCACAAGCTCTGGCCAATTAACAAGCGATTTATATTTTTAAGGTATTTCATTCCAGTATAAACAAAATGAAAAACAAAAAACCAACACACATCATATATTTTTTGAAATTATAAGAAATCAATAACGAATTACGAACGGGATTCTACAGAAGCGCAACAATGCTAGGGCATTCAGGAGGATGGTATAAGAGAAAACAAAAACTAATTAAAATTATAAAAACGTTAACAACAACAAAGAGTGCAAATTTTTTAAGTAACAATTGACTAGAAATTATTATGGAATTATTAACAACAACAATAAAAAATTAATTGAAAAACCGAAATTCAAGTGGTTCAAATGGAAAAAGAACTATAAACAGCAAAAATAAATAGAACAGCTTCTGATGATGATGAATGCAACGAATTGGTCAAAAATGTTCAAAGCATTTCGCCAAATATGTTCAAAGAGCAAGAACACACGCGCTTCCATTCAGAGTGAGCCGTGTGTGTAACAAACAAAATCAAATCCTAGTTGTATAAAATTAACTTTATTTAAATGAAATCTTGAACGAACAATTCCAGTGAAATAATTGGAAGCAAATCAACGCCAAGTAACGGAGCAAACATTTATATATTTTAAATGAATCCAAACTCGATTTTATTTGATACAAAAATGGAAAGTGTGATGAATTTACTATTATTGTTTGTCTCGTTCTGTTTTTTTTTCTGTTTTTTAATTTATCGAAATCAATTGGTGCTGAGCATATTTAAATAATATTGTAGAATGTAATGGTTATGGTATCAAATGGCGTTTTGTATTAATTTTTTTGTTTTGTTTCAATCGAAGTTAATTTGAGGATAACGATTTTTTTTTCGTCTTTCACATAGTTGAAATGACCAGTATTTTCACGATACAATTAGATTTACAATAGAATATTGAAATTCTTTTCAGAGCATCCATCTCCGTCCATAATTTTCAGTTAGTTCATAATAAGTTCCATTTTCAGTTCACGATGATTTTTAATGAAGACTTCCCAACACTGAGTTTGCACTATAAGTTTGTTTGTTTTATATTTTTTACTTAAATGAAATTAATCTTGGCGTCTTTTGAAGTGAAGCAGAAAATTTAAATGAACGTCAGGTCGGAGATGATAATGAAATCGATCTTTTTTTCGGAGCAAAAATTCAAAAATTGTTTTGCATTGAAGTAAAAGGAAAGTTGTGATAGAATTGTCCATTGTTTTTATTTTCTTCAAAAGGAATGTATGGATAAATTGAGGATTGAATGCAGTATTTCAATCAATTTAAAACGATGATGTAAATTTAATTTAAAACAAATTTCAAGAAAGATAGAATCCATAAATATGGCGAGCAACCACACAATGAAAAAAAAAACGAAATTGCAATAACCATTGAACAACAACAACACAATAACAACAAAACATAAAACTGACAACAAATGAAAAATAATGTTACAAACTGAGGTGCCTTCAATTTTTTTTACACAAATCATATAAAATTCATAATAAAAACGAACAAACAAATAAAACCCAGGATAGACAATGTTCATTTTCGTACCAAATAAGCAGATAAGAAGGTCATCCGATAGAATCATAGAATATATCAAATCAAAATGAATTGCGATTGAATTTATCACGTTTGTGATGCGATGGCATTACAAATATTTTGGTAAATATTTCGTGAATTCATCCACAATAAACATTCTAAAAATGCAACTGTTAACACCGTACAAACACTTAAAATACAAAACAAATCTGGCCTGAGCCAATACTGCAGCAAAAAATTTAAATGAATACAATTGTTTTCTACAATAAAAACAAATAATAATGACGAAAAACGATATGTACAAATTTTAATAATGAAATATATAAAACAAAAAAATGTGTCGTTATGAATGAACGAGAAATTTTCCTAATTCATAGCAAACAACATTTAAAAGAAAAATACCCAAATGGGTGAAACAACATGAAACTAACTGAAATCGCTACTTCGAAGCCAATCGGCAGCCTTAAATTTTTAGACAAACAAAAACCTAAATAAAATGAAAAAAAAAATGAAGATTAAAAAAGAATGGAATTTATGTGATCAATCATTTTTTTTATTAGTAAATAACGAAATACAATCCATTTGGGAAACGTTTTCCAGAATATATCCTATAGCTCCAGTTCGAAACCATTTTCATTGGAAGAATTCTGTACAAATAAACAGTAATTGTGAGGATGCATTCCTTGCATAGCAAATTCGTACTCATTTTTTTCGGTTTCTTTTTTACATTATGTATCCAAATGTGTTCAGATCGTACGAGAATCTCAAAGTAAAAAAAAAATCAGAATATCATAATAAAACCTGCACATAAACAAACCAACAAAATTGTAGCATCTTTTGCAAATGATGCATATTTTAAATGTTTCAATCATTTGACTTTCGCTCCATTTTTTTCCAATCATTCTTATAATGCGGCGAATCGCAAACAAAATAACAAAAAATTATTGTATTTTTCCCCCCCAAAATTTAGACAAACAAACCGGAACATTTTTTTGCTAAAGGTGTATTTATCATGAAGTGGCGTGTTTTTTCCTGATTTTCACAGTGTGATCATTACATCACTTAGCAAAATTATAAAAAAAAAAAACATTAAGCTAGTTCTTTGCAAAATAATTTTTTTTACTAAATTGCTTGCATGTGTACATGTTGTAAAATTGAAATTTAATCTGAATGTACTTAATTTTATTATTCAAAAAATTAAAACGCATATGTGAAAAGGTGGTCGCAACTGATTCGGGTTGTGTAGCATGAAAGTTCATCCGATATAGATGACTTAAGCAAATGGTTTCAAAATAACGGCTCTAAAGCCGTCAAATTTAAAACTATAATCGGAAATTATTCGAATGAGATATGATGATTTAATTAAACAAAATACAAAAATGCGTCATTTGTATTTTTAAATTTAGTACATAAGTTGAACGAAATGAGAACATGAAAAATTAATCCCAACCAATTACAAAGAAAGTGAAATAAACAAATACTTATAGTGAAACAATTGTTAACGCAAATACATCCATTATTATGCATATGTTCACGGTCAGATTTGAGGCAGCATTTTTCTTTTCGGTATAGTTTCAGTCACATCGCAATGGAAGTTGAAATAAAAAGTTCAATTTGAAATTGACTTGATTCATCGCCATCGATAAACTCTTTTAACCGATGGCAATGCCACAAAATACTCAAAAGCCCAACACAGTAACAAAAAGTTACATTTTATAATTACTTGAAATTTGTGCAGAATAAAATGTCGTTTGTCTTTTGTTTATATTTTAACGGCGAATTTTTATTCAATGCTTGTAAATCTCTAATGCGATGTTTGAAAAATATATATATATCACTGGGTGGTAGTAAATTCAAACTGTGTCGACAATTTTATTTGAAAAAAAAAACTATGCATATTAACTACGTTCCAATTGACCACATAATGGGCCAAAACATTACTTTTTTTCGATGTAAAATTTTCTAAAGAACGTTTCATAATTGTTTCTTTATTAATTAATTAAATTGACAATTCGGTATATCTTGTGTATAACGAGGTCAGTTGGCAAAAATGATATCCGTGTCTGCCTTCCTTTTTGTTTATTGAATAAGTTCAATTTATTACACCAAAACTCCACATTCCATTCTTGTATTTAAAAAAGAAGAAGAAGAAACAAACACACAAACAAAACTACATCTATTTATACATATAAATATGTGAACATACATTATATCTATATATTTAATGAATGAATTGAGAGAATTGCATTGCAAGTGGTCAACCAGTGTTTGTGAATTGAGATGGAGATGGTGAAATGAAATATGCAGGGAAAATGGGGATATAAAAAAAGCGTGCTGTGACATTGAAAGACGTAACTCACTGAAACGTCAGTTGACCTAGGTATTAGAAAAAAAATTGAATCGAACTTGCAAAGCGTCGGCTAAGTAGAAGAAATTAAATGAAAGAACAGAATGAAACCAATGAACAAAGAATTAATTATTATTATAGAGAAATATATTTTATTGCTTTAATAACAAATTAAGTTAAATGGCATATTTATATATACATTATACACATACAAATTGATGAAAAAGTGATTAAAGAGTAATTTTTTTGTTGTGTATCCATAGAAATCTTGAGAGAAATAAACATGTAAATGAGGTTGAGTGTGACACGAAATTTTAGTATAGCTGTATGAATCATTTGGATCGTGAATGTTTTTGATGACAATAACAGTGCAACAACATCGACGTCAAATTACTCACACAAATCTTATCATATATATATATTTTTCAATACTAACTAATGAATCCAAATCTTGCCAAGATTTTGTGATTTTTTTTGTCACATGTCCAAAGGCCTAGCAAACATACTGGACATTAATATTCGCGTCAAGAGGTTGCCGAAACATAGAACCCGGTTTTATTAACAAAATAACTCGATAACGATCGTTTTTCGTTGCACTGTCTTATAATCCATGTCATGTAAACATCAAAATTAAAAAAATCATTCACATCGAATTCATGATATTTCGTAACACACATGATGCCGCAATAGACTTTGTGATCATACAGCGATCACATAAAATGTGCGCAAAATTTTGTTTGACAATTCCACAAATGGATCTGCGAAATAAATCAACGAATAATGAATAATTATAATTTATTGTCATTAAAAAGAAGCATATGCACCAAATGTTCATAATTTTAAGTTATTACAATTTCATAATGTAATCAAATTGAGATGTACATTATTCATGTACTTGTACGTAATAAAGAAATTAAACGTGAGAAAAAAAAGAACGTAACTAACGGAATGAAATGTGAATGTGAGGGGATGAAATAACATCCGAATCGTAATATGAAGAGGATGGAAAACAAACGAGAAAAAAAATGAAACACGAAGTTGGAAGTTGAAAATGTTGAATGTGAAACGAAAATTTATTGGAATTTTATTCTATGTGTCAAGATTATAAAAGCATTGCGCATATTGTCTAGGAATGTTTTAGATAGAAAAAATGGATTGGAATATATTATAATACAAAACAAACAACTCACTATTTTTTATTATTGACAAAACAAAATCTATTTCAAATTGTTTAGAAAAATTCAAATAGATTTACAAACAAATAAATATTCCAAATTATTTACACACAAAAAAAAAAAAATAATAATAATAATGGCAATGACAGCCAGATGATGTCTACAGATGACGACAACGGCAAAAAGACAGACAAAACATAGGGAATGAGAAGAGAAGCGATACATTTGAAATTTATTAAATTATTCTATTACAATTATTCTACGAATTCAAATATGGTGATGGAAAATGATAAAACAATAAAAAAATGATGTATAACTACTGCATTTTAAGAGAAATAAAAACAAAGTGAGTGAATTTCAAGTGAAAACTAACAAAGCTTTGGATTTTTTCTACAATTATTATACTCTTTTTTCGTGTTTAAACGTGGTTTTTTTTAGATAGATTCTGAAGTTGGATTTTGAGTTCGAACACTAGTCAGATCATATGGAAATTTGAATCATCTCTCATAAAAAATGTGGTACACATAATAATCGTTAAGAGAACGTTCAACTATAAATATGGTGATTATTTTGATTTATCAACCCAAGTTTCGAATTTCACATGACCGGACAGACCTACTACAGGATTTCTCTATTGCTTTCTTTTAATATGAATATTTAAAAAAAAATATATTTTCTGCGTTGCACCGTCGTCATTGATCGAAATCACACAAATCCACAACATCAACATTAAACTTTAAAATAAGCTTTATCCATTATTAGTGAAAAACCTGATATTCGTTCGAAGATAAATCAAATAATCGAGCAGTACAAAAATAAATCGAAATATTTTATTTTATCGTTGCAAAAGTGCATTTAAATCATAACAGACAAAAAAAATTGCAACGCACTCCACGGCATATGTAAATGACACCACAACCATTGACCTATTCGCACACACAGTCATATGCACATAGATAGCTGAGGTAAATACATCGCACACACTCGACTCTCAGCGAATTCACACTAAGAATACATACATGTTGCATGTCATGTTGGTTTTCATACAAGAATGGTAAATTTTCGATGGCCTTTATGTATGTTTTGTTTTATTAAATTAATTAATTGAAATCGAGTAAAATTGATTATCATGTCACATGATATAAAATCAAAAGGCTAAAATTGTGTTAAATCTTTTCGTTTCAAATATTTTTACCATTATTACCGAATATTTCCCATCACTGCATTTGACTGTCAAATAGACGTCGACATCGTTGTTTTTGTTGTTGCTGTCGTCGTCGTCATCGTCAGCGTTGCGCGATACGAGCTCAGTTCATTTTGTGAGTTTGATCTAATTGGACGTGTTTCTAGCAATTAATTTTTGTTTGTTTGTTTATTTTTTTCTTTGTTTCCATTCAAAATCATCAGTAATAATAAATTGCCACAAATTTTCGAATTATTGGAGAATTGAAAACATTATTAAATTGCAACAAACGAGCGAACGACAATTTCATAGCAGCAACATTTGTTTCACCATTGCATTGGGTTGGCATTCAAGCAAAAATTGATTTAAACCTGAGAGAAAGAATGACGACAGAAAAAAGTCATCGAACACAATTTCAATCTTTGTTGAATTATTATTATGTTTTTGCATCGTTTTAAACGTTTTACTTTCATTTTAACATCGAGTGAGAAAAACTAAGAGAGATAAATATATAGAAAAAGAGAGCAAGAGCAATTCAAATTCAGCACAGCACAGCACAAATTGTAAATCGTGTCAATTCATCATTTTCAATCATCGAGCATTTTCATACATTTCATATTTTTATGCACGAAAATGTATGCCTGATTGCAGCAGCCGTACAAAAAAAAACTACACAGCATCCAAAAATATGATACACACATTTTTTTTGTGTATCGCCTTTGTTGAAAATCAACGCCACAAACCAAAAGAGAGAAAAGAAAAAACACACATCACAATTCGAGTTTGACAAAAGGCTGAACTACACCAATACATATGAATCGTAGCACGCACAAGGAAGACTGCACAGTTTATAAGACAGAATTGAAGAGGGGATATGAGGTAGCACACAATGGATAGAGATGGAAATAGATATACATATACACGCTAGGTCATTTGTATCGACAAATACTTTTAGAGCGACAGAAAACGGTTGAATTCCCATGCCTGAATTGCAAAACGAAAATGGAATGATAAGAATGGAAAGAGAGGACTGAACTTCAAGTGCCAATGAAATGTCAGACAACAAGTGCCATAATGTGAACACCATTTAATGAATTTGGTTATATGATCAATTTCTGTTATTTTTTTGAAGATTTAGAAATCCGCAAAAAAGTTTTAAAGCGAACTGCAGCGCATTTCACATTCAATACTGGTCCCATATTCTGATTCCCATTTCAGCTGTCCAAAAGTCGCGTAAATTCCAATAAGGAAAGCAAAACATATCACGGAACTAAAGAAATGCTCAGTTTTATTTTTAATTCGTTTTGATTACTTCGCACATTCCATTTCCCGCCGTCATATCATTTGATAACTGCATAACAAAGGAAACATTTCTACATGTTGTTGCTCTTTTTGGCTCATTTGCGACTTACAAATTGACTTTTTGGTACAGTTTTACCGACTGTATTCATGTTTTGTTTGACTATTTTGTAACAGAAAAGAAAAACTATTAAAAACAAAAGAAACAAAAAGAAAATAGAAAGAGAAAAACGCACTAAAATAGTGGGAGCTAATGATAAAAAGGTAAAAGACAAACTCTCTATGTCTTGCGAATCATTGCGACCCCAATAAGTCAATTCGAAATGAGATGAAAAGAGATACAAAACACAATACATTCGTTGAATTCAATGTGAATGACGAAGATCGCGCCAAATTTTCGATTTTCAGCTAAACTTGGTTTTCTCTCTTTTCTACATTCTTCTCCTCTCTAGCATTCGTCACAATTCGTTTTTTTTTTGATTGTATGCACACTCATACACATATAATAATGTCATACAAGCTTTTTGGTGATATCGCCTTATGTAGGCATTAGTTCCATTTTTACTTGTGGAACATCGTTTAGATTTTGACAGAAGACATCTTTTCCTCTCTTTCCCCATCTATTGCTCTTTCTCTGTCACTTTTTGTCGCCCACAGTTGAACGGCATTATAACTGTGTGTCAGTATTGGTGCTTTTGGTGTTTGCAATTATTTTTTTTTTGTTATCATGCGGTTGTATTGGTTGCTGTGACACGTATTTGTATTGGTTGTGGAGCTCGCGCAAGCGCTGTCATCGTTATCTCGTTTGCACACACACAAGTATTTGTATTTTGTCGAGAAAAAAAGTGTATGAATAATTAAATAGTTAGATGTGAGTGTGATAATATTGTGAGTGTGTGTTGTTTTTTTTTTAAAATTTCAGCACACACTAGTTTGAAGCAGTCATTACGGCTATCTTTTCTCTTGCTCGCACTCATCGTGTACGCTATTCAGCCCAACGAAACGTTGTGTTCGATTATTTGATTCAGTTTATTGTGTGGTATTTTTCCGTTGTTGCTGTACATGCAACTGTCGAACTATTTGCTCTATCTATTTATTGTTCAAAAAGCATTGCAAATGCAAAACTTTACGTCGAATGACACTCTTTTTATTTGAATGAATCGGAATTTTGTGAATTCACACCAAAGACGAGCACATACATTTTTATTTTTTGTTAAATGTAGGAATCAACATTGAATCGATTCTCCGATTTCATTGGAATGAATTGAAACGAACGGTGATATAATTTTTTTGGTTGGAATGAGGAAAGCATTACTTTAAATCTGATGCAATTCAAAGCACTCTGGCCATAAGATTTCAGGTGTATTATGATTATACAATAAACTGGTGTAAGTGCATTTTGCAAAAACTAGAGATAGAAACACCGAATTCAATTGATTTAAATTGAATATAACAACGCGGTCCTTGTTCGTACAGCAAATTGTACATTTTCAAGAAACAGGTGCACGTGCTGTTATTACAGCTAAACGAAGCAGAATATATATATAATATCCAAATAATCCAAACTAAAACACTTCATATCGTCACTCACGATGACATGTGACTCAAGGCAAATAGTGCAATAAATAAGTGCATTATATAGGATCTTGGTTTTGGTGTAATAGTCTACTTGTGCTGTGTGAAAAATTTTTTTAGTCACTTAAGATACAGTGTTAGATTTGCTCATGCGTTGATTCGCTGTGAAAACGACGAGCAATTTTTTTTTTTTTTCAAATAAAAACGAAAAGGAATTGTGTGTCGATCGCTTTTTTCTATCTCAATCGTATCCAAAATCTACATACAATTATTACAATTATATTTTTATATTACTTAGAGATTGATCGAAAATTAAACGCTACGGAACACACGTGCGTATCAACTGACAGAAATTTCGTAGTGAGATAAACAGTCAAACAGAATCAAAATTGAAAAAAACACACAATTTGAACGAGGTTTTTCTACAGACAAAATTAGTAGACTGGCGACAGCCAAAAATTCGTGAATAATTGATAAAAGTTCACATTGAAATACAGTGTTCGAAACGCGAGACAACATTATTTTAAATTGCAAGAATACACAATAACAATATTGTCTTCATTTGAGGTTTAAAAAAAATGAGTGCGTGTCTCGGCATACAAATACCAAAGACATTTTAAAAATAAATAAACAAGCAAAATTACAAATACACAAAATAAACGTGATTTACAAATTAGTTTTGTACCGGTGACATCCATTGTGTGGATTTGCGTGCATATAACTATCACTTCAAAGAGTTCAACATTTGGCAAAAATACCAAAGCGATTGGCATAAACATAGTTCTTAAAGAAGGTAAGTGCATACAGTAACTCAAATATATTGTCATTTTTAAATTTGCACAAAAAAAAGTAGAACCAATATTATTAAGGCTGTGGGAACAACACGCACTTTGCAATTAAAGATAACGAAATATAACGGCTTAAACAAAAAAAAAAACGAAAATATTTGCATTTCATATCATTAATTCCACACACGCAGTGTATTTTATTTGTTTGTGTATTCATTATACCGCCGATAGTTACTACACAAACAGACTAAAAGATGAAGAAAAAATGTTTTTTTTTTCTTAAATATTCATTATGTGCCGTTTTGCCGTGTTTCCGTTAGAATTCATGAGTGGCTTAAATAGCAAATATTTTCACTTCATATATGATCTCGAAAACAACAACAATGTGTCGTTATCAGCAACGTAGGCGAACCGCTCATGAAATTCATTTAGTTTTATTATTAAATGTGCTTAAATTTGCATTTAAAATTACAAGTGAAAGTAAAAATGTTTGTATGTTTTTTTTCTTTTCTGTTCATTTACGGAACAGAAAATATCAAATAGGCTTAAGCCGCTATATTAGCGTTTGTAAAAAGGTTGATTTTCTGCATGAACTTTTTAGAATAAATGACATTTTCATAATGCAAACGCGTTTAATCTTTTAACTCGTGAATACCCATGAAATGCAGTACGATTTGGTGGCATTCGGTTTGCGATTGGGTGTGTATGTGTGTGTGTTTGTACTTTACTATTTGATGAATATCAAGGTTACATAGCAGACTATTTGTCTCTCACTCATATCAGCAGCTGGTGCATACGGTTTTAATTCATTGTCAAGGATTTTTTTCTTCTCATTCAATGATTCAATCAATACATTGTTTATTGGAATCTCGTTTATTTATGAGTGATGAAGCTTTACTTTTTTTTTGCTCTCAAAACTATGAGACAATTTAACTTAATCGAAAAAAATATAGTGTTGCTTACGCACAACCCAATTTAAATAATAATTTCAAATGACATAGATGAGGTTTTTAGCCAGTTTGAACAAACTCCATGTGGAATGCTATGATGAGATTTTATTGAATGATTGCTTCTCATTTGAATTGATAAATGAGATCGGTTAACTAGCCGATTTGAAATGAGGCAATGCGTCATTCCATTCAATACCATGTTTCTGTCTCAATTGGAATATTTATTTAGATCTTGATTTATCAAGTCGGTGGCAATGGACTGATAGGGAGAAAAACCACACTACATGAGGTTAAGATACACAGAAAAAAACGTCGAAATTTAAACAATAAAAGTGGTACTCGACTTATAAGGTCATAATAAGGTGAAAACAAATGATAAAATAGCAAACGCATAAAATATATATTTACTTAAAATGAAATAGATAATATTTATATCGACCCATTCGATTAAATCTAACGACAAAATTGTATACCAAACCGATATTGAAATAATCATTCAAAAATGTAAATAGTTTTTGTGTGTGTGTGGTTTGTTGGTTTACTAATTATTTGCTCTTTTCTATCTTGCACTACCAGATTGTGTTAGCTTTTTCATTTAGTTTTCATATGACTAAGTACGAAATGATTCGAGATTTTTCCAGTTTCAAAATTTCGCATTTTTATTTTCTTGGTATCTTCTAATTTAGATGGATTACCAATCTCTCTGTGTGTAAAATAGATTACTTTCCGCTACTAAATACTGCTAGACATGCAATCAATATATAATTTCCTATTACTGTAATATTTTCACAAACAAGGATTTTTTATCTCACAAATAAAACCAATTGATTATATCAGCAATATAAACATCAAAATATATAATAATAAGCGATAAAATCGTTGATAAGTCATGAACAACACTCGCAATTTATTACCTGAAAGAAGTTGAAGAAGCAATTAAGTGCAACTCAGTTACGCTTTTAGCTTTTAAAAACGCAAAAATAAAATGAAATTGTTTGTCGTTGTTGTGATGCATGCGAAAGAAAACTTTTGAGGAATTTTTTTTTTTTGCAATAAAGCAGACTTTATGCGTAGATTGATCTAAAATGTGAAAAACGTACATTGTTTGTTTAAAAAAGAAAATCAAAATAAAACCCTTCTCTCAGTCATAATAAATTTCTTCAAAATATATAAACAGAAAATCGATACGCTTGCGAAATCTATTTTCGTTACAAAGTGAAGACTTGAGAAGACATATCAGAAATATATCGGAGTACACGCTTTTTCTTTTCTTTATATGAAATTCGTACATTGAGACGTTATTAACTGAAGACATAACAAAAGACTGGATAGCGTTTTTGCAGCATTTTCGTGTACGACGATGTATCGCTGGCATCCATATATGATTTGGTACAACCATTTTTTTTGTCTGTTGATGCAGTTCAGTTATGTAATGTCCTTGAATTTTGAACCACGGTCAATATCGAGTCAAATGACCTACCAAAAAAACTGAGTCGAACTGGCCAACATTGTGCATTAAATGTCTCGTTTTGGCCGAAATGAGTGAAATAATTTGCACGAAAACAACCGTATATAGTTCTAAGGAAAAAATAAACGGTTGGCGGAAAACATTCGATATAACGTATCATTTGGTTTGTTTGTTTTGCGTATATTGCTCATATAAAAACAGTATGTTGACAATTAGAGAAATAGACGGAATTACACGTGTGTGTTCAATAATAAATAAGCCAATTTGTTCAAAATACTTTCTTGTGACGTAATTTGTTTTTAATGGAGAACACGCTATATCTTCGTCTGAATTTTAAACAAGATTTACATTTACAATTGAAAAAAATGTTACGAATGATATAAAACCATAAAAGTGAATGAAAATTTAAATAAAAAAAGAGATTATTGTTATAGAATAGAAAAATGCGATGGAGTTTTTTGCATGGAACGGAAGAATAAAAAAAACACAAAAACAGTAGTAAGTGATATGCTTACGCATCAATTTTCCACAGATGTATTTTATCAGACGCACGCATGTCAATGTCAACAGCACGTTTTGTGTGAATAACACAATTTTATAAGTCACAACTTCATTTGAACTGGGCTGTGATTTATGTCAACGAAACGAGTGAGAAAATGAAACGAATACAAAGTAAATAAACAAAAAGAAATTTTTTTTCTTCAGTTAGCAGGATGTCTTCATCGCTTGATAAAAGTAATATGCTTTGAAGTGTAAATGTCTTACACCTTTCACTTTATAAGAATTATTTGTTTTGTTCACATGAATTCGTTTCGGTATTTGGACATGAACAAATGTGAACACGCGCCAAAACAAAACAAAACAAAAAATCAGCCAACAAGAATCATACGTTGAATGGAAAATACGACAGCATGTGCGACGCATAGTCATCAAATAAATGAATATGCGAAATTTTTATTCAGCAGCAAAAAGCAGCGAGTGAGTCAATTAATACACGTCAATTGTGTCACGCCTTGATGACCAATATATGTATAAAATTTAGTAAGCACCACTGAAACTGAGTGAATCAATAAGAGAATTGCGGGACGTCACCGAGTGATGCCTGGTTGTTGTTGGCGCTTTTTTTTCGCTTGTCTTCTACGAATGTTGTTTTAACTTTGTTACGTCATAAATAATAATCATCATCACACATTGCCAATCGCCTGCATTCAAAATATTGATGAACAGTTTGAAGTGCTAGAAATAAAATAAACAACACAAATAAGCTTCTACTGTATGTCATAATCACCACAACGCCTTATTCGTTTTTGGCACGTATGCATGTATATGGCGGCATATTGTTAATGTGATTGTGCGCCACAGCTGATAAAACTGTGACTATACAATCGATGTATGTCGAGATCGTGAGCGATGGCCGTCGTCTCTCACATCATTTATTGAATGCCGAATCAGTAAGCAATTGAACAGTTTACGCTATCATTGGCATTCAAGTCTTGTCGAACAGGTTACGCGAATTTTGCGGTTTTGCTGAAATTTCCACAAAACAAAAAAAAACAGAATTTATGATCTAATCGTTTAATGTATCAGCAAAGAACAATCAATACAAAATTAACAACGAAATTGAGACTAAAAAACGTTATATATCAAACTAGCTACCTTTTATTACCAGTATTTAACCTATATTAATTGACACAACTGTCTAAATTGTGTGAACATTTTAAACGGTACCCAAAAATAGTTTCATTAAAAATCGACCAAAGACTTTGAACACATTTATGAATTACAAATTTATTGGCAAACAATTGTTTCTTTCACAAAGTGTTGTTTATTTGAAAGTGAATGCATTTTTTTATAACTCTTTGTTAGAGAACTGATCATTTGATTGAGAAGCTTAGATACAATTTATGAAACAAACAAAAATCACAACAATTAAGCAAGGAACAAGTATGTATTGTTTTCTCTCATTTTTTCCATTGTTATTATAGATAATATTAAAGCTCACAAAAGTCTATGAATAGAATATTATCTTCGAAATATAAATATGGATTTCATTTTATCACCTTTTGTAACCAAAACATTTTCTTTTCTGGCCTTTACTATCTTACGCCATCAAAATTCATTACGTTAATTTAGTGAAATTATATAATTTAATATAATCGAGAGAAGAAAAAACTTTTGTTTCCTGGGTAATTGTAATGCGAGTACAATTTCCCCGTTTCAACTGATTTAAATTGAATGTAAATCTTATTATGCGGCTCATTTCGTTTGCCGTATACTTTTTATATATGCAAATATCAACGTAAATATGGTGATGATGATGAGATTAAACAAAATCAAGTCTTCCACTAGATCAAACTTAAACGAAAAATGAAGGGAAATGGCATCAATTAAATAACAAAGTATTTTGTCTCGTTAGCATAAAATTTGACGTGCATGTGCAATAATGAATATACAAACATCGAATCATTTTTATTGAATGAAACACCAAATTGCTTCAGACAAATGAGCCGCACGAGCAAAGTTTAATTACAAAAATACAACGAATAGCATTTGAAATGGTAGCTAGAATGTTTTCTACATAACAAAATCTCTCTATTTTACCTTTCAATTCAATCGTTTTCCTAGGCAATTTTTTTCTTTATTATTCATTCTTTTTTTTTTTTCTTTTTTTTTCATTCTTTTTTTTTTGTAAAAAAAATTGATGTAATACCAGATGAAAATTGCTTTACCATCGGAAATTAAACTTTGATAACGCACAATATTATTCTAAGAAAATGATTAAAACATGTGAACTAAAGAGCAGACTTACGTGGCACAAGCAATTCCATTTCGAAGATTATTTACTCATTTTTAATCAGCTCAAATACGATTTGGTTGTGTGTCATCAAATATGCCACTTTTTACAATTGAAATTCGAATTCATTACTGGACGACATTGTACTAATTATCACTAGTTGATGACAAGCCAAACTGTCATAAAGTGAAAATTGAAGCGCTGTGTTTCGCCAATTTTTTGTCTTATTAAAAAAATGAATGAATTGAATGCCGGTATAAATATGATTCTAATTATTAGTTAATTTATAACAATTTTCAATAACAAAAATAAATGTGGGCTCAAAAAATCAACATCGAATTTCAAGAGCACTTTTGCTTTCTCTTTCTATTTTGTCATATTCAAAAAATACAAATGCCTCTTTCGCATGTTTTGACATTAATAATATACTTTTATGCAAAAAAAAAGGTGTCCATAAAAGATGATAATCTGATAAGTTTGTGCTGTTATTTTTATATAGCTAATCCGGATTAGAAGAAACTTTTGAATAACCGCTGTCCCAAATGTGCTTAATGACGTCTGTATAACGTCCATCAAAAGACCCGATTTCCAAATATTAGCTAAATTTTTGACGTTCATCAAATAAAATAAGATTTTAATGGCTAATACAAGAAAAAAGGGATACCATTCGAATTAAGCATAATAATATTAGTGGTCATTGTTGATCAAAAGCAAGTGATGACAAACAACAAACCGTCAATCTTATCTGATATACATTTTTGCGGAAAATTTTTGCACATTACGTATAACCTTTGCTTGATTAAAAAAAAAAAAAATTGTGTATCGGTGTAATCTGAAGAGAGTGTTTTTTCTTCCATTTTTTGTTTTGTATGAAAATTAAATTGAAGACTTTTTTGCGCACTTTTAAACTACGCAGTTTCACTTTTACCGGTCAATATTTGTTATTTATTTACTGTCGTATCGTGATGATTATAATCAGGTATACCTGACACATTAAATGTATTTATTAATTAGTTGAATTTACAAAGTCAAGAGTCATGACTCTTGATAAATATTCCTCTTCATCAAAATAATAATCAATTGAACAATGTGATAACAAAGAAATTTTTTGACATCAACCGAAACATTTATCTTTTTTCCCAATCTGTGTCGAAGAAGTGTTTAGTTCAGTTCACAAACATTTTGCAAAATTCTATCTCAATGACCGCAATGCAGTGGAAATATCAATCAGCTGATACAATTTATGGCAGTGTTATTTGTTTGTTTGTTTTCATTTTTCAACCGCTAATCATTTATTGCATCAATGTTTAGTACTAAATAGCATATTGATTTCAGTTTAGGTCATACCGTTCATTCGAATACAAAAACGGAGGCTATGAATTGCATTAAACAATTGATCATTCAGCACTTTATGTGGCCTACATTCATGATTGAAACGTCGTCATCGTCGCAAATCATTTGCATGAGATTTTAAAATGGAATTCACAAAAAAAAAAAATTATACAAAAAATGACGTTTTTGTGTACAACAGCACAATTCATGGAAATTTTATGAGACTTTAAATTAATGTCTTTAGTTAAATACGTCTGCCGTGTATGTGAGTCTATATGGATATGCAAATCACTTGAAATGTCCAGATGAATCACCAGACGTTCTGACAGCAAATATTGCGGCCATTGGAAGTTATAATTCTAATCATCACAAACGTTCAGATGACGTTTTCGGGCGTGGAAAATAAATATCGTATAAACTAATAGGCACTCAGTTAATTTGCAATGAATTTTAATGAACAAAGAAATGTTTAACTGATTACTAGGCTGATTATTGCCGAGAGCTGAATACATGAAATGTAAAGATTTAAATATTTTCTACGCGTCATGATATGTACTCGCTTTAATCGGGGAATGAAATCGTTTTCATCGTAGAAAATCTCTTTTCGCACGCTCATTAAACATTAAGAAAATAAATCAGCAGATGGGAAGAAGGATTAAAATTTCAACATCATTGCATGAAAAACTCATTACAAAATGTTTTTTTTCTCTTCTCCTACATTATTTAAATGAAATTCAAACAAAAAAAAAATCTTTATGCTAAAGTTATTATCCACTTTAGCATGCGAATCCATAATGCTACAAATAATTTATTATACCGGTTGTTGTTGTGGTGGTGGTCTAAAATGTTACTAATTTTCATTTCGAAATTCCATTGATTTTTCGTCGTCATAACTGAATTCTTTTTGAAAATGTTCTATTTTTAAAATGTTGTTTAGTCACAGACTGTACTTTTGCTAGGGAATACCGTGGTCGACGAATGTCGGTTTGCGACGCTAAGTTTTCGGTCATTTTGGCCTGTCATCATTTTAGACTCACTTGAATTTCCTGCATTTTAGATTTGGTTTAGTTGTTGTCTCTTCCGTTAGCGTTTGCATATAAATTGCAGCGAAAATGCTTGGATACTGGCAAATTGCAGACTGACGTAGACGAATTCAATTTGAAGTCAAAAATGCTTCATTTTGTTCAAGGAATTTTGGCATTGCTCCAATTATCGGAATGTAATTGCTATCGATTATAGGGACAGGTTTTTGTCGTTGCACACGATGTCATTGCACATAATGACACTAGTTTAGCTTTCATTCCACCAAATCGATTAAAATTCAACACATGTCAGCACGCAACCTTTGCGTATTCCTTGTGGATGTACTACATTTTGCAGACCAATTTGCACATGCAAAGTGAGTCGGCGATTCAGATTCAATTGCCGATTAATATTTCAAATGACTGAAATAAACGATTAATAAAGTGAATCGATTGCACGTACTACGACATGATCGATCACATAAATGTATATCTATTGTGCATGCAAAAGTGATCAACAAAACAAATCCGGATCAATTAAAATGTGAAAAGCACTTAGTATAAATACACATCTTAATGCGGACTTTTGATTGTAATAATTTTTTTTTCGCTTTCTTAAATAATCGATTTAGCCAAGAATGCATTACGACTGTACCGGTATCGTCATATACTCTTGTTTTTCCGTCGAACTCATGCAAATTTTATCATATATACTATTTATTTTTATATATACATTTATTTGATACAGATTTCATAGTTGTTTCAAAGTTCCCACTTCATTCATTTATCGCATGCTTCTGTGTGCATTCAATAAATTTTGAGTATAATTAACACAAAAATTAAAAGCGGAAACGAGAAATGCAATTAAAAAATAACCAACGTGGGATTTTGATTCGTAGTATATTTTTTTTCTCTGCTGCAAACGGGCTGATAATGTATAATTTATTTATTTGAAATAAGATATAACCGTAAGACGACAGTAATTGATAAAAAAAATGAAAATAGATGATAAGTTGATTAGTTTGTGCTTTTACCATTAAATTTGTTTTTTTTTTTTTTTTGTATTTGCAGACAAGAGAAGGTGATATCTGTGGAAAAAGGAATTTTGTAGTTAAAACTCGAGTCAATTGGAAACCGTCAAAATTCAATCGTTTACGTGGAACAAGGCGTTTGGTTGCGCGACAACATTGAGTGTGTCGCTTCAGATCGCATACGAACTGATCAAAATTCGGCTACTATCGATTCTAGCGCCCAACTTTCCACCAATCATTGAACTGTTCCTGAAAGTCTATTGCGTAACAAGATAATAGAAAAACCTGATAAGAGGCTACAAACTGAAACGGCACTTGGTGGTAACTAAGGTTGGGGTGCGCAAATCATAAATGCAGCTAACAGAAAGGGCACAATCAAGTTCTCTGCATCAACGACGACAACGATTGTCTACTTGAATTTAGTGAAACTAAAACATCAAACTGACCGAATCGATTGATTGCACGGTCAGGAATAAGACAGGAATTTAGGTAAAACGCTTTATGTCAACGGTTGTCACCCAAGCTGAATTTTGCGCCACCACGGTTACGCAAACAGATTACTCTATCTCCGCAGCGTCGTCCGCTGTATCGCCAAATGATTTTCGGCGAGCATGGATAACGCCACATCCGGAAAATTTACCCGGTTTAGCGGAGAAGACATCAATTCAAAATCAATATGCTGGATCAAAATTGACGGTTGCCGATAACACCAAATTACCTAATCCCATACAAAAACCATTGAATCCACATCAAAAGCAACAACAATTACATTCAAAACAATCATCCATCGACCATGATGACGAAGTTGCTTTACATCCATTATCAAATCAGGTAAACACAAAAAAAAATCGAACAGAGAGAGCAAAACAAAACAAATTTTGATTCAAATGGAAATGTTATCGCAAGGTGTTATCAATGAGCAAAGCTCGTTATATTATAAAGTACCGTAGCCGGTCTTAGTCATGCTTCCTGATTCAGAAATATCAAATGGCAAATGTATAAATCTGTCTTACTACATTTGTTAGCAGCGCCGATTATACAAACGATGAAACATTCTTTTGTCGATGTGTCGTTGAAAGAAAACGTGCGGCTATTTTTTTTTGCACCAAAGCTGGCGCCAATATATACAAATATAAAAGCTTGTCTCTCAAAAATATCGCTTTCACGTAATATCAAAACGTTTGCGATCGACACTGAATTGAAATTTACTAGAAAATCGAATTGGCCATAGTCGGGGAAAATGTCAATATGTATCGCATTCGTTTCGATCAAATACGAGAACTATCTACTATATGAAAACAGCGCATTTGCTCGTTATGTTCATCTCTCTTCCTTTTTTTCAACGTAAACAAATTTGAGAGTGTGGTTGTTCATTCATCGGTTTTAATTTATGAGTCATTAAATGTTATTTATCTAATAAGACCACCGAAACAAATGGAATGCCCAACATTAAATCATGTTGAAATAACTACTAGAATCACATTCAAGAGAAGAGAAATGTGAAAATATTATGAAATCGATCACGAAAGAATATAGTAAAAATTTCAAGTAAAAATTTGCTTTTCACCACTTAAATTAGAAGCGATTCGTGTGTTTGGTTTATTTTTGTAACAAATCCACATATTTTCGATCGAATCGCTTCGCAGTTTCAAGGCACCAAACCATTCACATCAAATCAATCACGCGCAATACAGAAATAGTTGTCAATTTTCCTCCCTCTCCATTCGATAATCGTATTTTTATCGCCTTTATTTGTTTTTCAACAAGAATTTACTGCAAATTATTCTCTGCTGGTTGATTTTTTAATTGTTGCAGGCAGTTAATGTGGCATCGCTGTATGCTGGGCGCTAGCCCGTTGCCAAAACAACACGATTCAAGGTTCAATAGCACATATTATAATTCTTCTTTCATATGTCATTACAATTGGCATAAATAGAACATCGTTAAGATTCGTCTATTTACTATGTATTGTGATCTTACATTCCCTTTATTTGCAGCATCTTCATCTTCGATTTATGTACGATCAAATGTGAAGTAATTATGTGTTATTATAATTGAACAGAATTAAACATCGATACAGCTGCGCGAAAACTCTTCCAAAGATTTTAGAAAGCTTTTTTATAAAACGTAATCAGTATTTCTACCGTAAATTTTAATAAACAGCATAGTCTCTGGTACATTTATGATAGATTACACAACTGTTTTGCGCATATGTATCAATACGTGATTTTTTACAAAATGAAATTATTTTCAAAGTCTTTTTAATGGATTTTGCGATCTATATTTTTCTATTTTGTGCATCTACCATCATTTTCTTCCTAAATTTATATTTCTTCATTTTGAAAAGCAAGAAAACATTTCATTTTCACGGTTAATGAAGAAAAGAAATGTATGCAAATTATTTTCTATTACTAATAGTGAACACTCAAAAAAATGACGCTGTTTTATTTGATAGTTGTGCAAGTACACACGAGAGGCTACAAAAATGGCATTAAATGCAGGTTAAATTTCATAAATGCATCGTTACGCAAAAAAAGTGCCATTTTTTCATATATTTTACGAAATAAGAACATTCGAACATTCAATTTGATAACACACGCAGTTTCCTAAAATAGTATTCAAAAAAGTTTACCAATAAAACAAGACATCTTCAAATATGTCAAGAGGTGTTTTGGATTGTGTCCAATAATCGATATGAAATTAATCGTTGTTTTTCGATTGAATTTAGGTTGGAGGTCACACGCGACTGCTGCTGCTAAACCAGAGTACGGTCATAAAACCATTGAATATTCGTGAATTAGATTTTTATCAAAACATTCCATCGGATATTCAGCTATTCGTTCCTAAATACAAAGGTAAGTATAGTACAGATATCGATTTGAATATTTTTTCCGGTCACAATGCCACTTTTTTTTTAAATCGAATTACTGTGATAACACGTTACTTTCCACCAGAAAATATTGATTCTTGAAAAAAAAAAAAAAATGTTGCATTTCTCGAAGCAATTTTGATTGTCTGTTGCGTGTATAACGTGAACAGCTTTCAAACAAACGCAGACATACGGATAATAAACAAAAATACATGTACACACTACAGTTGAATAAACATCAGCTTCATATATGTTGAAGGATTTTTTTGTCTTGTGTCGTTGGTCGACATTGCCATTGTTATTGCAAAGTTGAAAAGCCAATGAACCGAATTCGTTTCGCTATTCGATTCAAATAGCGCACACATACGCAGCACAGACAGTAAATAATTGAAGGAGAACAAAGAAAAACTTGATTAAGCACTTTATTTAAATTGATCAGTCATCTGCTTTATAATGTCTACAATTCAATTTAAGATTTCGAATCGTTACATAATGTCTGCTTGATTTTATCAAGGAAATCAATATCCAGCCGTGAAAATTTAATGTATAAACGATTTGTATGTGGGTTTTTTTCACAACACCGGAATGAATCAATTACAACGACCTACCACAATGAGTCACTGATGTCATTGGGACAGAAAACGAGCATTTTTGACTAATGCGTAAAAAGAGATTCTGATTCTATTTTTAATTCTTTCATCAATTTAATTTTCAGTCAACTTTTGTAATTCGTGTTTGTTTTTCGTTGGTATTGGTACTACGTCAAAAAAGACTATTATCTTCATGATGATTTTTGTGAAACTCAATTAATCGAATTTCTTGAGGAAACACGTGAAAAATTGATGAACATGAATTTCAGTGTTGTTGTTGGAACCAGAGAAGTGTGAGCACTTATTCCATATAATTAAAATCAAGTGCCGCACCTGAGCATAAGAAAGAGCAGCAAGAAAAGTGCCTGCACCTCCGCGATACCTATAATAACTAAGAAAAATATGCTATGAACGAAGTCTAGATAAAATTCCTTTAAAAAAAGTTCAATCCAAGTTTTCATTTGATTGCTTACATTTTATGTTTTAATTATTTTTGTTCTAGGTGTTATGCAAGCGACAACGATGAGTGGTTCAAAGTTGGAGAAACGCTACTCGCCCAGTTTCCATGAAGACTCCAATCGAAAACCGAGTGCATCGAAACGTAAACGCGATGACGTTTTACGGTTAGTATTTTATGTTCGATTTTAAATCATCCAATTGTGCTTCACAAATATTTGTTGTACAAAAGTAGTTTGAAAAAAAAAAAAATCATATTGTGCGAAAATTGAGTTGGCGCTCTCCTATCCGGTTAGATCTGTATTCGTTTCGCGTGTTGTTTTCGGCTTAAACGAATTGTAAAATAAATGAATTTGCTATTTCCCTGCATATTTTTTTAGCATCGTTGTTGTTCCTCAAATTACTGGTGAAATTTTTTTTAATTCACGAATCATATGATGACCGGGCTAAAAATGAAATATGCTTAGAGTGTGAATCATAACATTCAAATATATCATTACTAGTTTTTCATTTAGTGTGCACGAGAAACAAAAAAACAAATTACTGATTTTTTTTTCCCAATTGGAAATGGATTATTTCATTTGCTATCCGGTCATATGTGAAAAGATAGCATTTTTGCAACAATAACGAAACGAAATCGAATCACGACGAGCGGTAAATGCTGGCACATCTACTCAGTATTATGAGCTATGCAGTCCGAAGTGTTATGAGCTATGCTCAAAACCACTGTCGATCATGAAACACTCTCACACATAAGGCGATGAGAGCTACGAATGTATATTTATTGAATATATCGAGAAGAGAGTATGTTTGTATTCAGACATTACTCAGCCATAAGCGCTGAATAATATACTCTCTTCTCGATATATTCAATAGATATGTCATTCGAAAAAACAAATTCACGCTTAAATAATGAATTTCATTGCCAAGCGAATTATATGCGAACTCAAAAGGAAATTTGTTTAAATTTATAAAAAAAATGCGTAAAATTCTACAAGAGCTATATGATCATTGACCGATATCGATTATTCAATTGAAAACAGTGATCATTTATCATGTATTTTTGTTATCACTACATTTGTGTTTTCGTATTTAGAATGAGATAGATTTCGGTTGCATCATTCGTTCATTCTTATGCGTGTGTGTATTGCAGGCGAGCATTGAACAGTGATGCTGTGTGAAAAGTTTATCCAATACGATCGGTGCCTGTGATAAAAAGACAATATACTAGTCCAGTGAACAATAAAAGCAAAACCAATGTGACAACGCTGAGCAAAGCGGTATTCATCTATTTGAAATAAGATTCGAATTGATTTATTTATCCATTTTGATTTATTCAAAATCGTTGATAGAATGGAAAACTATCATTGTTACAACAACGTTTTGTTTTTTCAGGTGTATGTTTTTAGTAAAGCCAACACTCACAAGCTATTACACACCCACTGCCTCTGTTGAAGCAATCGTGTGGAAATTGCGTGTGCAATTGCAGCCCATACAATGAGCTGAAACACTCAAATTGGTTTCTGTTAAATTTATAAATAAGATTTATATATGATGATGTATATATGAATAATAAAGAATTTAAAAACCTTTTCTCGGTTTTATTCTAAGCTATATAATGATGGACGAAAACCACAAGTATGGTGACTCTCACTTATAAGATCACACACACACACAATGTCAATACGTACTTGTCACTTTGGTCCATTGGATATTTAGAAATATTTATGAATACAAAAAAATAAACAAACAAAAAAATAATTAACAAAATTATGGTACGAATAAAATGTTCGTTTTAAAGGAAATCCAAATCGTTTTAAATTCTTCTGACACATTCGTCATTAATATGAAATTAGTTTCAGTTAGAGAATGGATAACTGCCGGGATTTATATCGACCGAACAATGTCATCACACATACACACACACAAACACAAACACATTCACATGTCTTTTTTTGTTTTGTTTTCATTTTTCTTTTAATCATTTTTATTATACATATATTTTAATTTTATTTTCTAAATAATATAATGTATTTAGTCATTGTATTTAGCGCAGGAGTATTCGCTACGTCCATCACAACCGTTCACCATCAAATCGATGGCAGTTTATAGCAAATAAAAAAGACCAAACCAAAAAAAAAAACTAAAAAAACACACCTCCAAAAACAATTCAAATTCCTCAAACAATAGAATATTGATTCGATAGCTCACGGATTCTCTAATCAGGCGATTTTTCTTTTCTTTTTCTTTTTTTACAGAATGAAAGTCCATAGGAATGGAAATGCGATGGAGATAATTAAAAGTATTTCTCAAATAGACAACTCTAACAAAACATGTTAGTATCCATGAAGACCATGATTCATTAGACCAAAAAAACAAAACAAACAAACGCATACACACACAAAGCATTTACAATGAAAGCGCGCATTGAGAGGCAATACGGAACAAAAATATATATTGCTGATTGATCATCATCTGTAGTACAAGTACCGGGCAGCCCATTGGACATTCATTTTCACATATCCATTATTTGCATTGTATAGGACCAAAGGATTAACTCATCATCTACATTTCCGTTGGGATTCGATTGATTTCGCTTTTTTCTCTGTTGAAGTGGAACATATTTGTTAGGATATATTGTCATGTATATAAAATGGTTCAATATAGTTCAAAATTGTTGGTTTCTTCCAATTTGTTTCGAATTTTCAAAAAAAAAAAAAAAATCGAATTTTTAATGGATTTAATTATAAGGTTTACCAAATTTATTTTTCAAGTTCACGAATGCAATCGCTATCCTTCAAATTCTCGAATAAATTCCTTCTCGGATAATGTTGCATTGTTGAGTAATGCACCATTTTCCACCCAATATTTGTTAACATTCATTTGGTTCGTTATCGAAAATTGGGTTTTATTTGTGGATTTTTACGCCACTTTCGGAATGTAGTGGAGGGGGAGCAAAGCAATGATGTAATCATCAAGAGGAAAAAAACATGAGAAATATCAACCTTGTAAAATTACGCAACATTGAAAAGGACGTAGTATCATCACGTCATTTTTTTGTTGTATTTGTTGAACAATCGGGTCTCTATTGTTATTCGTCCAGCTGATATTGATTTTTCTTATCGTGTGTTGATACATTGTCGTTGGGTTCTAGTTTTGTCGCATTTTCCTTTAAATCATCATATAGTTTGCACTTGAATGAGCGAATTTATAGCACGACGGATTATCGATTTTCTCGCCTTATAAGATTTCATGGCTTTGTTTGTTTCTTTTTTCATTTTCAAATTTGTTGACGAAGGTTTTGTTTTAGCCACTGAATGTGGAAATTGCACTTGCTTTTGCTTTGCGTTTTTCCATAAACCACCATTTAACATAACTCATTTGATAATTTCCATCTCTTTCTTTCTTTCTTTCTTGTTTCTTTTGTTCTATTTTTGTTGTTCAAACAATGCTGTTGCTGCTGCTGCTGCGTAGATTTTCTAATGCTGGAGAATATAACGTCACAGTTTCGTCAGCCTTGTATATTGGACTTGAAAATGGGCACCAGACAACATGGAGACGACGCATCCGCTGAGAAGCGCAGCAAACAAATGGCAAAATGTGCTGCAAGCACATCGGCAACGCTAGGAGTGCGACTATGTGGTATGCAAGTGTATCAAGCTGACATTGAACACTACATGAAACGCGATAAGTACTTTGGCCGTGAATTGAATGAAGAAGGATTCAAAAAGGCATTGTACAATTTTTTTCACAATGGATTTCGATTGCGAACGAAAGTTATGCGAAAAGTTGTACAAAAAATGGATCAACTAAGGCGTGTAATTGAACGACAATCTAGCTATCGATTTTATTCATGGTAAGAATTCCGTAAATGCATTCATATCATTCATTAATGTGAATTTAGACATTCAACATTTTTGACATTTATTTGATTTGAAATTTGGTTTTCAGTTCATTGTTAATCGTTTATGAGGGCTACGAAGATCCAAAGGAAGACCTTACCGCATATGAGGATCCATTACCAATTGATTCAACAATCGATGTAAATAACAGTTTAAGGAGCCAAGGCGATAGTCAATCAAGACCGATGGAAGATGATTCACATAGTGGAAATTGTTCATATGATGCTGATGCCTCCAACGATTCGATCGAATTGAATTTGTCATTAGACGAACAACAGCCGGATACACAACAAACGTCACAGCATGTCAGCCAGACACAATCAAACCATTTACCTGTAAGAATTTGTGTGTGTGTGTGTGTGTGTGTTTGTTTTCATTTGATTAATTTATAATATTTATAATTTTGTTTTGAATCTATTTAGCTCCCCGTTACTATGCCAATCGTTTCAACTGAAATCACATTGACAACGACTTCGATCGATGTACCAATTGTGCAACGTGAGCTCGGCGAATCAGCAGTACGTGGAGCATCAGTAACACCATTCGTTCCGATCAACGAAGAAACGGTTTTTCTTGATGCTGATCCAGTTACATCGTCCGGAATTTCAACAATGTCAAGTCCAATGTCGTGTGATTCATGGATGAATTACAGCAGCAATAGCAGTGATGATTTATCAGCCATATCTGATCGAATACATGCACACCAACAACAACAACAGGATAGCTCGGAAGACAGTAGCCTTGAATTTGATACATCGTTGCCGCAATCAACACCGAAATCGAAACGTAACTTCAACGTAGTGAGCGAATATACGTTACGGCCAAACCGTGTAACTAATTCCACAGATAAAAATGATCATAATCTTGGTGATGACAATGATGACAACAACAACGACGACGACGACGATGATGATGATGATGTTCATAACAATAGCTGTGTAAGCCAATCGAAGCGATTACGTGGTCAATCAACAAACGTGACAAATTCATTGCAATCGCCACCATCATCATCAATTACAGCCAATGGATCAAAACGAAAGGCCTTACATCGAAATAGTTCACTATCCGGTGCTATTTGTGATATTCGAATGATCGATTTTGCTCACACAACGTTTGTTCGAAAGAATGACCAAATTTCCGGTTATTCGAACGCAACAACCGTACAACATCAAGGACCTGACAATGGTTTTTTACGTGGAATTGAAAGCTTACGTCGTCTGCTGTCCGAAATTCTTAATGATGATGACATCGAAAGTGAACGAAATGAATCACAACAACGCAAATCGGACATTTCGGCCGAGGCAATATCGTAAAACCAAATAAATTGTCCAGCATGTAGGGTTATATTTACTAAATTTGGCGTACGCGTATTTATCGTGATTCAGTTGCGATTCAAATACCAAATTTTATGCCGTAGTAGGGAAATAGGGGAAGCAAAGTCCAAATTTTTATGATGATAAGTTAGTGAGAAAAGCAAATTAGGTTGGATTGATACCTGACAAATTAATTGTGATTAGAGCATTTTTAATAAAAAAAAAATTATTATGACTTAACGAAAAACAAAAAGTATATACATTTTTAATGCAAAATAAAATAACGGACGTGACATGAAAATAAATTAAAAACAAAACTAAACAATTGTGTAACGTTAGATTTAGATGAAGAATGAAAACCACTATATATAAATTATTATTGTCAATTTTGAAATGATGAAAATTCTTGCAAAAGAAATTATATTGTCTTTTACATACACGAAACGTGCGACTAATTTCAAAAATGAAAATCGATTTGAGTGAAATTTAGAAATTTTACAACAGCAATCTAAGGGCAAAACTGTACATTGTTATTGTCACCAATTTGTAAACTTATTTTGTGATTCGAGAGGGGGGAAAAAGTGTTACATCAAAAATCAATGAAAACAAACAAAAAATTAGCTATTATTTATTTGATGGATAAAATACTGTGTTGAGACTCGATCTCTGTACTGTGTAACAAAGAAGAAGAAGAAAAAAAATTAAATTTTCAGTTCCAGTTGCTTATTAGCAGACACTATATTGAGCTGACTTTTGAAATCGCGGACATTTTGATTTTATGACGACCACAATTTGTCTTCAATGTGTGAATGCAATGTGTGAGTTCTATGTATTTTAGAGGTCACCATTTATCAGACACACCTTGCAGAGCCAAATTGTTGTGGTCCACAAAATCAAAAGGTCCCAAAATAGCACGCCATTTCATCTCATTTCAATATTCATCTCAATATAATGTCTGTGTTATTAGTAAATAAATTAGTTGCATAATCATGTTTAGTTTTTCATAAATTATGTAAAAATTTGACAATACTATGTTGATAATTTTAATTTTTCAAGATTGGCATCGACACATTGTCGAATATTGTACGTATGTAATCTTCTTTTTAAGATTAACCGATTTCAACTTCCATTTTATGTTGCTCGCAAAACAAATCAAATTCATTAAATTTCACTTATGACACACAATTGTTGTAAAGACTTTTTTATAACGAAAACAAAAAAGAAGCGATCTCGCAAATACCTTTCCATTTTTATTTTATTTTAAGCATTCAACGCATTGGGAAAATGTCATTCTATATTTTGTAAATTTCTCTGTGAATTTTAAAACTTCAACAAATAAATTCTCTTCGATCAATCGTCAGATCAATTAACCAACATTTGTATGATCAATTTGTAAAATTAATAATTTTCGAAATATAAAAATGAGAAAATGTTAATTTTGAAAACAAGCGTCACAAGAATCATTTTTGAGTTAGAGCAACGTTTTGAAACGAATTGATATTTCTGACTATTATGTGTTCTTTACGAAAAGTTTTTGTAAATTTTTTGTGCACTTTTCCTTATAGCATGCCTGCTTCTTGCCAATTTTACATAATGAAACGGTTCCCATGCATGGGATTGATGCATTTTATCCACTCTCGATAAGTAAACCAATAATATTGAAATGAACGGAAATGAATTCAGAAATAAAAAAAACACAATATTTCCGAAATATTGAATGTAAAATAATAATAATATATAATATATATTTTTCGATTAAAACAAGTAAAATGTTCAAGAGTAATTTTACCTTCAAACTGTCCTCTCTCAGATAATAATCGAGATTTATATTTGAATGAATAAATTTTAATGAAAATAAAATTCAATAAAAACAAATAAATTGTGTTCGTTTTTTGTTACCTTTAATTTAACGACTCTTTAAAGAGTGACTAGTAGCTTATGCATCAACTTACCATTTTGGTTCAAATAAAAAGTTCAGAAAACTTTCATTAGATCATTTCAAATACGTCAAAATTTGCCAGAAAATGTTCAATTGGGCTAGTGGCAAATAGGCTTTTTTATTATGGATTATAGAAAGAGTTTGTTTTCCATTAAAATGTTCGGAATGTGTATAATGGGTGTTTATCGAAAAATAACAGATATATGTATTGTTTTTTTTTTGTTTTCTTTTCTTTTAAAGATTAGATTTGTTTACATTGTTTGAGGTTTGTGAATGATTGCTTTCGTTGATATAAGTTACTTGGTTATGTTGTACAAAGAAAGTAGTTGTTAAAATGGACAAATCTGAATAGTTTTTTTTTGTTAAGTTTTATTTTCGGGATATTGTTTATATGCCACTTTTGGCGCCGATTGTTTTCTTTATTTAGTTTTTGTTTTGATGCCAGGCAATTTATTCAACGTTTAGGAGTTCAACGTCGAAGGTCAAACGAGCATTTGGTGGAATAATTCCTGGGTGTCCACGTGAACCATAAGCATAGTCCGGCGAACAGATTAACTGCAAATTAGATCATACAAAATTACGTAAAATGAATGCCAATCAAAACCATTAAATCGAAATAAAATGTTTTCTGTGTTATTATTACCTTTGCACGTTCACCAATCGACAACTGAAAAATACACCACATAAAATCAGTTGATAAATGATATCAGACAAATGATAAAGAGATTCTATCTTGTAAATTAAATACGTTACCTTTGCAACACCTTCGTCCCATCCCTTGATAACCTCACCGCGACCAATAACGAATTTGAATGGTTTGCCGCGAGTTCGTGATGAATCGAATACGGTACCATCATCTAATGTGCCAGTATAGTGCACAACAACAGTTTGACCTGATTTTGGGTAACGGCTTCCTGCATATTTTTCAACCGATAAAAAACATTTTAAGAATACATTTATTGTTTTTCTACACACAGAATATCAATCATGTTAGATAAAACATTTTTTTGTTATTTTCCATTAATCAATGAATATCAACATTTTCACATTTCCATGTGTGTGGGAATTGGCAAATCTTTTGAAAAATTAACCACATTTCGATAAGGCAACGGGAAAAAGCACACTCGCTGCTGCCAATGTACGAAATGAACATATTTTATATCGTACTGATGACACAGATATATTAATATTTATACATAGCATGTGAAATGGGTGGAAAAACACCAAAGTGTGGCAAATCAGAACAAAAAAATATATCACACTTTCTATGCATTACTGGATGAAAATGAACTGATTTATGCGTAATTTAATAAACTTCTTCGTTTTCTTTATGGTAAAACGTTATGAATTTTTCGGATTAAAATATTTGTGTTTAAAAAACGCTTACCGTCCCCTGATGAAATACTGAAATATAGATATAATGATATTGAAACTTAAGTATACATTTTTTTTTTCATCGTGGTTATGATTTTAATATTTCAATTTAAAATACATACCGTTCAATGTCAACACCCATGATTATTCAAAAAAAAAAATTCTCTTCAATACCAGTGGAAAGAAATAAATGCAAATTTTAACTATATTTATTTTGTCGAATAAGACTAAATGCCGTGTGTATTTGCCGCAAAAGAGTCTCTCTCTCACCCCAACTTTCTGTTCTGTATGCGATGAAAGGTGACGCGCGCGTGAAAATTATCTTTTTTTCCTTGAATTCTGCATACAACCAGCGCACCCTGACAACAAACCACCGAAACAACGTACGACAATCATAAAAACTCTACACATATTCAATTAAATCTGCAATATCCATATTGAATGAACAATTTTGAACTTGAAAAAGAAAAAAGAAGAAATTTCTCTTTAAAATTTTATAAATAAAATGTGCACACCAATTTTCAGTGTCAATAAGTTGTCAATTTGAAAAAAAAAAATGATTAACGAAAGTTGTAAACATTTTCAGTTAAAAATATTGTGCATGGAAATATTACGCAGTTCGTTCTGGGCTCAACTCATACATGCACACAGTTGAAAATTGAACGTTTAGCTCATCTTTCGGTAAAAACGTTATGTCCAAGATTCGAATACATTTCGTTTCAAATAAGAAATTACGAAGCCATCCAAACTAGTAAATAAAACATTTTCATTGTGATCAACCATACATAAAAAATTAAATCATCAAAAAAAAAAAAAATTGTGAATGGAGAATAAAATGTGTATTCTGTAGAGTTTGAATGAAAAAAAAATTTGAACAAAATCATATATCGCAACCATAGAATATACAATAAAATAAGCGTGACGTAATCGGTAAAATGGCGTCAATGTATCGTATTTCTCTATATGAATCATTTGTAACTTCTGATCCGATTTTATGAGCGACACGACCGACTTGACGTTAACATCAACAGTAGCGACAGAGTGCGAACGAGACAGCTACACGTTAACACCAATACACACGCATCAACAATACGACGGCATCAATACGTTGCCACTGAAACGTACAACAGTTTTTACACACAACACAATTCGACATCGTCATCAATCGAACAACATCAACACAATACAAACTGTGCAACCAAAAGTCAAAAGAAAAGAAAAATAAAATAATATACAGTGAATTTTTTCGCGGGTTTCGATAAATGTTGTTATTTTTTTTTATTTGTTAAAAGGACACACTTAGACGAAAAATATAATGACACTAACATCCAGAATCACAATTTGATTTAATTTTTTTGTGGTGCTAATAGACATTGTTTATTTTATTTTTTAATTTGTGATTTGTGAGTCTCTGTTATTTTGATGTCCTACAAACATTTTGAATTGGTCAACACCGATTTTTTTTTTTAATCAATATATCCCATAGACCCAAATCAACGAACGAAATTGAAAATCGAATTGAACAGTTTTCATGTGGCATTTACGGTGAAACCAAATTTTAGTGAGAAAATCTGTACGCGTTACCTCCAAATCTTTGGAGTAAATAGATATATTTTCATATATTTTGATTTGTTGACTGTTTTTGTGTGTATCGTGCACACATATTTACATCGTGCAAAAACTGTCTACGTACATGTAATGTAGACGCTGGTTGAAAAAAAGGCGAATTTAAAAATTTAGTGTAAAAAAAAGGAAAGGAAAAGAAAAGACATTATAAACAAATAGAGGCAACAACAGCCGCCGCCGCAACAACAACAGAAGCAGCAGCAGTACACCGTTCGGTAGTGAATGAAAAGGATTCGTTTATTAGTTCAATAAACAGTAGCAGTTTCGTCGACGTTAAATAAGTAAATACTTAAAATGTCCATTTATGAACCGTTTTTTTTTTATAGTTTCAATTTCAAAACTGTTGGTTAACTCTCAACTCTTCGACCATTTACGTACCAAACAGAAACGATTGAACAATAGAACGCATAAGAGTCACCCGAAAAAGAAACAAACAACATTTGAGTAAAACAGTATTTTTTTAGTTCCAAATATATGATTACGTGCTTTTTTCTCTCTTTAAGCACACAAAATATTGTAACCTCCGAGTCGACTCGCATAGCAATATGTATGTCGCATGAGTTGATATGCTGCGAAAGTATCTCTCTTTATGAAAATTGGGTTTTCCGCTTTTTATAGTCGCACTTGTTGTTGTTGTTGTTGTTAGAAGGGAAGAGTGAAATAAATTCTTAAAATAGAAAATTATCTCATCGATAGAACACGCACACAATAATCAATTTCGTGTAAACAGTGTGAGAAAAATGCCTGAACCTTGGATACAAAAAATCTGTCTCAACCAGCTCGAAATGTCAAAGAAAATATGTTTTTGATTGAAAATGTGAACCTTTATCAATAATTAAGAATCCATTTGATTGCGGCTTATTTACATATCAATGTTATGAAACAAAGACAAACGGGGCTGTTGTGTGAAATTTGTGGAATTTTCCTTGCAAAGACATTGTTATCGAAATTATATCCCATGCTCCAGTAAAACCATTCGTTTCTTTATTATGTGATCGAATGAGTTCAGCAACGCAACATTTTTATTGTTATGACTTGAAATGATAAGAGAGCAATAACATAATTCAATATCACATGAAATGTGAGCAACGAGAGATTGCGTGCCATAATAAAAAAAAAATTATATCAACTGTTACTTATTCGATTTTATCTCAATGCTATTCATAAAGAGGTATTTTTTCTCTCTCTTCCTTTCTCTCCTTTTGATTATCGTTTTCAAAACGAATGAAAGATTGGGAACGATGATTCGATGCGAGTAAATCGGTAGAATTTGCTTGAAGCATCCAAACTTTACCTCATACACTTTTTTTATCGACAGTTTCACAAAGAAAACGGTTATAATTCATGCAAAGCGATATTGTTTAACAATCAATTTGAGCGTTAGTCAGAAAAAATCGACAAACCGTTAAAAAAGGGAGAATATAACCCATTGGATCGAAATGATGTTGAGAAGAAAAAAAAAGAGAAACAAACTGTATGGCATATATAATCAATCTGTCTGTCGGTATATTCGCGTTCAATGTATGAAACAAAAGAACAAAAATAAAATCTATTTGCTTGGATCTTGCTTTGTTGTCGGAATTTGTTCTATAACCCATTTCATATGTATTTACATATCTGTTGCTGTGTTTCTACTTAACATTTCTTTATTTTCGTTAGGAGCGGCAATTGTTTTATTCATTCGTTGTTCCTCTTTCTCAGAAGCGCTTTGACATACACGCAATGTAACTCAATTATATTTATAATTCCACTGTGTGCTTGAAAATCAACAAAAAAGCAACGGTTTCAAAGACACTCGCACATATTAAGTACATTACGTGTACTGCATTCTCCGTATGCATCCATTAAACGCATGCATATTAAACATATTTCTCCAGAAATTTAACGATAGAGTTAAAACGATAAGCCGAAAATCGATATCATATGCAGCAATCTAATTTTCTGTATCACATGGAGAGAATGGAATCTTATTTCTTAGCTGGTAAAGCTCTAATTATAAAAATAGTACAAAATAACCGATGATCTGGTAAAAGCACCTGAGTGTCGGTTACTACTACGTTTGGGTGCGCTCACATTATCTTCGTCCGCTCACTTTGTACGCGATTAATTTGTTTTTAATTTCAATTAAAAGAGAAGAAAAAAACAACAAATCTTAAGGGCAAAGAAATTGTGTGCTAGTGTGAGTGTCACGATTTAACCCGTTAGCGCAACTGCATTCAATTACATTTTATGAAAATGATTAAAATGCAATGCAGTACGTTGAATTAGATGGGCCTTGCGCTCATAAACTTCATTATACCATAAGACAACAGAAATAGTCACCACAACAACAGTCACGAGAACAACAAATTCAAATGAGTGGCACACCGCTCAAATGCCATTTAAATTCACTAAAATTATATTCTGAATATTATTCTCTTTCGATCAAAATAAATACCCCATAAAATTATATATACGGTGTGTGTATATTATTTTTATTTTCTATCTCTTTTCAATTGCGCCGTATTGTGTGCCCATTACACCTTTTTATTTATTTTCAAATGAAACACTTCGACATGCATATGCATGTACGAGAGGAAAAATAAAGAGAGCGAGCAAAAGAGAGGGTCATCAATGATTCAAATATGAATATCGTTTTTATAACGAAAATATTTAAATGTTGTTGTCGAGTCTCACTAATTTCAGTTTCTTCGTTTCCATCAAGCTACTTTTTCTGTATTTGTGTGCATTTGTGTGTGTGTATAGTTGTTTGGGCCGATGTGTGTTTTTATATATATTCTTTCATTGCTTGTTTCCATTCTTAGCCGTGTTCACACCACGATACACAAACATGTATCGTATGTTACAGGTTTTTTTTTTCGGCACTGCGATTCGAAGTTGGTATTTTAATATATGTTGAATAGTGAATTTTTGTGTGACCGTTCAAATAGACGTGTTTGACTGTAACACAGAAAGAAGAGAAGAAGAAAAAAACAAACACAATACACACCATCAGCATACTCAAATGCGAGTAGCGAGTGAGACAAACATAATACATCGCTTACACTACACCGCTGTAGTACACACCGCAAAGTCCAAGCAAAAGCAATAAACGTTTTTCTAGTAAAAACAGATACATCGAAACGCGGCCACAAAATAAAGTTGTTCGCATACGGTGCCCTGCCCAACGCGAGAATTTCGATTTCGACACGGAATAGCGCGAAACAAGCTAAACGACGACAAAATTTACGAACACACTACTAAAAATAATATTATTTATTATTAACGAAATCAAACGAAATATTAAAAAATATATATTTTTTTTTGTTCTGTTTTAATTTTCATTTTAAAGCGAAACAATTGTATTGTTTTTTCTAAATTTTGATTCAAGTAAGTTTGTTTTTAAATTTTTAAATTATTAGATCATAAAATTAGTTTCGTTCGTTTATGAGTTTTTAGTTTTGAAAAGTGACTTTAGTTTCAGAAGAATTTCAAATGAGTTATTTACGTTATTTTTTTTTTTATTTCACCGGAAATATTTTCGGTTTTCTCTATCAAGTGTTGAGTGATCTCATCGGCTAACGAGTATATTTGAATGATGATTTAAATTATAATTTGACATTTTGTTGATACAAACATATCAATATTTATGTATATTTTAACAATAGTAAATTATGAATGATTTTTGAAAACAAAGAAAGCGTTGTGCTTCATCCAAGTGTTATCTTCCATTCCCGGTTCAAAAATGCAATGCGTGCACAAGCGATTAATCTAAAATAAAAGCCAAAAAAATAACGATCGCATTCTATTTGATTTGATACTGTTATTCCGTGTTATTCAGTATTCTCAGTTAAAAATGCCATTCACTATATTCAACATATTTGATGTTGTTCTCTAAATGGTCAACGGATCATTGCCAAATTGAATCAATTGAATGAGAATAATAGAATCAAATTAAGAATTTCGCAAACATAGTAAGAATTTATATGGTGAAATTGTGTAATGCGTATTAAGCGTCGAAGACAAATGATCCGCGTGTGTTCTTTCGTATCGTGCTGATGGCGACAGACATGCGGATGATATACATTTAATATACCGAAATAAAGAAAAAAAGAAAACAAAGCTATACTATCGATGAAGCAAAAAATAATGATACATATATATATATCGACGCTGTTTTTAGAGCCATTGAAGATATACTGTAGAATGGGACGTAGAACTAGGTCACACTCTCATACATTAAGTGGGTTCGCGTTCAACTGAATGGAAGGCAACATTAGCTCATAATTTCTTGCACAAAATTCATACATAAAAATCACTCCAACAAGCTGTCGTTTCTCTTTCTCAATGTGTGTGTGTCAAAAAAAAAATATCACGTATCGAATTTGGACTTTGAATTTGGTTGAAAAACTTACTCTTGCCTTTTGTTATAGCGACAAAAAAAAACGAAGAAAAATTAGTAAACAACAATCGCTTGGAGTCATGTCGATGATTTTCTTGCCGATTCGATGTTTAGTGAACCATTCGCGGTCAATTTATAGTCAGTTGAAGTGTAGCCAAAATGTTCCTTGTCTAAATTTGGTATATACACTACTCGGTCGTGCACAAAACCGTTGCTGTATTTGTTGCTGGGCAATTTTCTCATGAATTTCATGCTTCAGTTATTTGCACATGATCATTTGATGACTTTGAAATATGTTTGAATAATATGAGCACCGATGCCATTCCACATTGAAGAAACCCCGAAAGAGCAAATATACGTTCTTATTGAAGCATTATCACATTTAAAATTTACTATATATGCAGAGTGAATTTTATGTATATATTTTATACTAGAATAAATAATTTTTTTTTGTTTTGTTTTGTGTTCGTGAGAACATTGAATGGAATCAGACAAAGTGTAAGGCAGTGCCTGACATCGTATCTACACACATACGATTCATGATCAGCGAGCAGAACGCATAGATCACATTGAATACATGAATGTACTCTTGTGTTACCCGTATTATTCAATTGGAAAATCATGTGGTTTCTATATTTGAACTTAAATCACGGTGAACATTTTCAAACGATCAATTTAATGTTTGAGTTTGTCAACGACAATCTTTTTTTTTTTTCAAAAATGCACTCCAACCACAAAAATACTTCCATGCAAACGATTGAACCCAAACAAAAATTACTGTAATTATGTTTTCCAGTTTTTGTTCCCTTTTCTCTTGCATATACTTTCGTAATACAATTTATTTGTCCATGATATTGTTCCATATTTGTGTATACGTGTTAGTTAATAGCACTCCATTTT